ACTGGTTATACATTCATCCATGTCATGGAATTACATGAAACTTAAGTAATACCGGTACCAATAGTTTTCAAGTAATTGCATGCATTCGCCCATTCAACTCCATGACTTACATCCAATGCAATCTGTAGTTCCTTAATGATATAGGTTGCTTATGAACATGTGTGCAAAGTTTTTTCTTCTTGGTTTTGGCATACTGAGGTCAATCGATTAGATCCACAACTTAGGCTTTTGTCCCATGCTTGGTGTGTTTATGCAGGAGGGGGAGTTGGGAAAGACAGCTTCCTTTACAGATGAAGAGATTCTAGATGGAATGATTACTAGAAGCCGGGGTGAGGTTAGACGTATTTGCAGTCCAAAGGTGATGAATTCCACTGTAATACCATCGACAGAGCTCACTATTCTTCATAGTCCAAGGCTCCCAGATAAAGTACACAGCCCCCGGCTAAGGCCAACTCAGAGGAAATCATAGCCCTCAAGTTGTTGGGAGAAGATCATTTATCCTGGAGAAGCAAGGTCATCCAATTTAAGAAAAGATGGTTGAACACTGATATATAATACACATTTCTTTTTTATTGGTACTTAGGCTTATAATTTACAAGAATTACCAGCAAAGGTGGTTTGCCTATACTTAATTTAACATCTCATTCTTGACAAATGCAAGTGCTACAGTATAAATTATTTAGTGCTAGAAAGTTGTGACAAGAGTTCACTCTGGCTTTTTTTGCTAATTGTGAGATAAGAATGGTTAACATATATTATTTGTTTAGTCTAATGCAATTGTGGAGGCATTGGTTTGTTGCTACCTTATCAACTCTTGAACAAATGTCTCAATAGCTCTGAAAAAATCACTCATGTAACAATACTAAAATCAATATCAAGGGACTCAAGTGCTTACCATTAGGCTATAGCTATTAGTCAGAGCACAACTTTTATTTCTTTAAGTCGAACAGTCAATGCCATGATTCGATTTGATTCTGGCCCACTTGGACCTAAAACAAAGCCTAGTCTAACCTGTTCCCTCCCCTAATCCCTAATAGTATGTTAATGATGTAAGGGCTTTGCCCTCCTGCTTACCAAAAAAGGAAAAATACTATATAGTAACATGGAACTTGGGAACATGATAATGCCACAATCATACACAATGTAATGTACCAATGTAAACAAGTATCATGTATCATACACAATGCTTTGAATACACTGCTATTCCTCCACAGGTTTATTAGTTCATTGCGAGAGAGATGTAAAAAACAATCACCCACATAGGAAGGCAGGGTAATAGAATAACTATCTCCAAAACCTTGAGTTGATAGAGATACTGAATCATTTGGTAGAAACTAGAATGTAATTTTAAGAAACTTGGGCACCACTGATATGAGTAAGTAACATGGAAAAGACCATGGTGCAATTGCATAATTTTTTATTTCAACAGTTTAACATAACCATCATAAAACACCTTGGAAGGTTTGTTCTACATGCTTGATCTGACAAATGTTGCAGTGATGGATAAACTGAATCACTTGGAACAAAGCAAACTAAGCAGCCTTAGGACTGTTTCTAAATTTAAGACCAGATTTCTGCTCTGTTTCATATAGTATGTGATTGATAAGTCCCCTTGCAGCACTGCAAACCCAGGAAAACAAAAGTATCAATTTGAGCTCAGAAAGTCAGAATCAATGACCTATATCTAGGTACTTAAATATTCATTTCCCACAAACATGCATTTATCTGTGCATGAATACAATAATGTACAAGCTTACTCATCCTTAAACTTCTGAATCTTCTCAGGATCTGCCTCATGCTTGTTTTTCTTAAACTGTTGTCTCACCATATCAACAAGAAGTGTTGTGTTATGTTGCTGCAACAGGAAAAGCAAGTATACATCATAATTTGCTTCACATATCTTAATTTTATCACACATACAGATTAGATTTTGACTACGAAAAACTGATACTTATTTGCTTTCCACGGATACATATCCTATACTATTGGAGCACTGGATACTTCACTGATACATAACCATGGAGAATCCAAGTCAATTTTTTTAATAAATAAATAATAAAATGAATAATCCGATACTTTCCGGATACTCTCTGATGCAGAGTAATTTTCCAATATGTCTTTGTAAAGACCATTCGAATGAACCCACCACTTCAATTTTTTCTTTTGCTTCACACGAGAATTCTTTGATTTTCGCACAATATTTCTCATAAAAATAGGGACAAAAAATGCAACCCCAATCTACCAATCTACCATGCAGAAGCATTTGAGAAGGAGAGAGAATATAAGAGCACACAATGTTTGAGAACACACAATCTACCATACAGAAACATACCTTTATAAATCATCCTATCCTAAGACTGGTTCATTTGGGAACAAATTATACACACACCATAGTATATCATTCTTTGCAATAGATTTCACCATATAAAACAAGAAACCCATCACTCCAAATGGGATTTTCTCACATAAACTCTAATTCAATTTTGCAAAAAGCCTCAACTGAAGTTAGGTGAGTGATTTTGAAAATGTATGTGTATTAGAGAGACATAGAATCACGTACCCGATGGCCAATATATTTAGCTCTTCGTAGGCATTCACGGTAAAGCTAGAAAAAAAAACAAAACCCAAAATTAAAAAAGAGATTTTTATTAGCCACAAAAATCTCAAATTTCAAATATGAGCATAGAAGAAAAAATATAGAGTTTGTTACCCTAATGGTATTGTTGGCAAGCTCAGGAGGCAGTGCAGTTTGAAGAGATGGCATTTTCAAAATTTGAAGCCTGCGACAAAAAAATAAGATAAAACTTTGAACTTCATAGAGACAATTCATCGAACACTTTCAGGGAATAAAGAACGATTTGGAAGCATGGGTATTTACCTGATTCAGATTTGTAAAACAAAAATCAATTAGTCCACGACCGCAAAGCAAACAATAGAAAAGAAGAAATAATTTTTGTTGAATAAAAATTAAAATTGAGGATCATGTGAATGAATGAGTATCATTATAAAAATAAATTTATTTCTCAGTGCATTTCATCATCCCTATCTAGGAATGGCAACGGGGTGGGTTGGAGTCGGATTTATGCTTACCCAACCCCGAACACGAATTTCAAAACTCGAACCTGAATTAAGTGAGGTTGGAAATAAATATCCGAACCAAAACATATATATATATATATATATATATATATATATATATGAAATTTATATATATAGTATATATGTATTTATGTGTAATTTTATAATTATATATATTAATTGGGTTCGGGGTAGAGTGTTAACAATACCAAACCTGAACCCGAACCGGAAATTTGAACTTGGGTAAAACCCGAACCCGAACCCAATCACATCGGGTTTTCCCCGTTAAATTCGGACTGAGTTCAGGCGGATACCCACAGGTTCGGTTTTCATTGCCATCCTTATTCCTATCCACTTTTTTAATTTTTTTTAATTAATTTACATATTCAAGAAACTAGTTAAAAATTAATTAATTGATTTGATTTAACTAAAAGTAATGGCATGTGTTATGTTAGAAATTATTTCAATTAAAATTAGTATTAAAATATGTTTGAACACCTAAACATATGTTATGAAAAGGGTAAATGCAAAATAGATAAAATATTTTGGACCTTAATCCTAAAAAATCACATTAGAGGAATCCATGGGCAATTACTCTTAATCTCTAGGAAGAACACACAAGCATCACACCATCATGGGTACCATGATGTGGATGTGCTAATACATTTTCCAAATTACAATTGATTTTCAAAACTAGAGTTCTAGTTCTAATGTCAAACTTTCAATATTTTGGCATAAAATGATTTTTCTATATCTTGACAACAAAAACGTTGTGGCATATAATTTCAATAAACCGCGGAACATGTGTTCAATTAAAGATAGTGGGGTGTGACTATGCAAGATAATTAAATATACTTATGAGACAAAAATATTAATGTTCATTTGCTTATAATTAAGATAAGAATGAGCTTAATTATATCCAATTAGAATATTAATGTGTATTCTACTACTTTTTTTTAGAGTAAGTGGATCCCCTTCATTATTTTAAGATAAATATTTTGCAATTTATAATACATTTATACTTGTTCTTGATTTTTTAAAATTGTGTGAAAGATACAAGATTAAAGGCAAGTGTTGATAGATATAATTTAATTTGTTGTAAAAATATATAATGAAATTATAAAAGAGTATAAAATCTATAGAAAATTGGTGTAAAAGTTAAAATGATCCAAAAAGAGTGATACTTCTCTTCTTCATCATTATAGAGGACAATTAGTTTTTATAGTGTATTTTAAACGGTAAAAATATAATGTCAGTATAAGTTAAAGGGATAAAAATGTCTTTGATTTTTTTATGTGTTTTCACATAATTGTCATCTCCAATAATGGAGAGGAGTGTGACTCATCCAAAAGATGTACCAAGGACCTACCTAGTTCAAATGTAAAATGTAGTTGTAATGATTTATAGTTGCTTAGATTATTTTGTATTTCTAGGCTGTTTGGGAGTATTGGAGAAAAGCAGCCAACAATTTAGTAGAGACTGAGGCTGTTTCAGATTTAATTTGTTTATGGTGAATTTATTGTGCCGTTTGGCCCTATCATAAATGAATATTCTAAGGTTGCTTTAAAAATTTGTCAAAGAATACAACAAAACACAATTTAAAATGTGACAAATTTATGAATTTGAAAACTTTATATCTGAATAATGGAGCCTTCTGTAAGAGGAGCACCTCAAAAAATTAAGGTATGCCACATTAAGGCTTTCTTTAGATGAAAGGAGAAAATAAGAAGAGAGAAATATGTGAGAAAGAGAATGAAAAGAGAGAAAGAGAAGAGAAATAGAGTGGATTTTAGTGTTGTTTGGTTATATAGAAAAAGAATAGAAAGAAGTGAGTGTTTCTTCTTCGCTCTTCCCTGAACAATGATTTATCATCCAAAATTATGTTTCAAATCATGTCTCGGATCGATAAAAACATTTATGTCAATTAAAAAAATTATAATATTCATTACTTTTTATTTCAATATCATTGCTAAGTGACGAGCACACGGCATTCTTTAGTAAAAGGCGAAAGAATAGTTCGCTTTGTGCTTATCACATGGCTCCATGATTCTTCAAAAGCCAAGCTCTTTTCTTTTATACCAATAACAATTGAATCATCTCAATGGTTTCAACAATGTGGGCTTTGATTTGCATTGTAGTATTTCTTCACTTTCATGCTCTTTGAGTCATATGAATGGAATAACAATTCATATTTGATGTTAACATCATATTCTTAATATTTTAGTTTATTGATCTTGGAAAATGGAAATTCAGATAAATATTGAAGTGGGATAAAATTAGATGTGAAGCTTTTTGCTTCTACATAGAGTTCTGCTTGGTTAATGAAGGACCCCAAGGGAAATTCCCTTGTATTGATTACTAAGTAATTAATGATATCATTCAATTAACATCTTCTTTCGGGTATTGTGGGCACAAAAACATGTGAAGTGGAAGCTGAGACACAAAGTCTTATGCTACAGGTCTAACAAGATTGTTCCAACAACATGAGTAGGATGATGCCAAGTATTTGCACATTGTAATTATTTCTAGTTATGTAAGACCAAAATGACTCTTTCCCAAACAACTTAAGATCACTAACTTGTGATATGTATCTAGTGACAATCACACAAACGGGTAAAATAGGTAAACAAACCAAACATGGTTTTAATCTCCATGTGTATAATTTTATATCGAAGTAGTAAATAATAATAACTTGTTATTAATAATACTAAATAATATGCATTATATTATAATAGAGTTAATAGTTTTTGTAGGGTATTTTGAAAGAGTAGTATTTGAAAATCAAATTGAGATCTTTTAAACAAAGAATGAACGATCTTTTAATTCTTCCTCAAACTGATGTTTGGATCTTAAGAATTTTAAAAATATTAAACGTACCGAATAAACTTGAAAAAACATTCTTTCGAAGTCTCAAAGTATACTTTTAACACTTCCCAAATATAATATTATTTTCAACGAGTGAAATTAAATAACAAATATATTTTTTTATTTAAAATTATTATTATTTTGTGTTTGGACTTGACATTGATAAACATTTACACCAAACACTTATTTTATATTTTTCAGTATAAATATTCACTAAACCAAAACATTAAACATTTACTCTAAAAATACGTTTGAAGATTGTTGGAACATTATTTTGAAGTAGTCGAAACTCATCTATAAAAGGATATAGCAACTCGATTTTATGTTGAACAATGGTTACACGAATTAAGAGGAGAAAAAGACAGAGATGATACCCCGCGCCTAAAGTTTTGTAGTCGCCACCACATTTTTATAGTCAGAATATTGAAAACACTTTTTTATGCCCAATATCAAAATAAGCTGATCGTTAAAATTGAGTTCTAATTAGAGAGTCGATTATGGATCGAAGAAGGTATTAGCCCCTGATTTTTCACATGAACGCCCAACTTTGTCTTGCTCATTAATGGAAGATAGTAGTAGAGTACCTGATACAAAACACCAAACTTGCACCGTTGGTGAAGGAAATGATCTAATATTTGTGTTTGCCCTTGACATTTTATTTCTAATTAAGAAGATTGTTCAAACAATGTCTGAATGTTAACTTTTTTTAGGAAAAGAAAAATCAAATTAGGAATTCTCCAATAAATTATAATTTTCTTAAACAAATAAATCATTTAATTAGACGATTTTGAAATAAAATATGAGAACGAGAACTTAGAATTAGAGGGTGCACCGGCCCATGTAATAGTGCAACACATGAGCGATACTTAAGAAACCCAATAGCAAGCTACTGTAATGGTCTCTCCCCTTCAAAAAAGTAATTTAATATCGTGTGAGTCAATGACCCACATATCAGATATTAAACTGATAAGAACAGATACTACACTTGATCTTAGCCAAAAGGCCGAGAAAGGTATGAGTTATTCAATCATTGGCCTTCTTTTTTATATGGTGTCATTCATTTATGCTAGTTAGCCTCATCAATGTGGGACTACTGCAAATAATATTGCATTAATTATTTTACTTATTCCTCCACGCACACTTGGTAGTTGGTACACCCTCCTTATGTTACATTTGGGCATAAAATGTTTTTTCTATATTTTGATAACAAAAAACATTGTCAATGAATCGTGTAACATGTGTTCAGATCGTGGGGTATAGCAATATGCAAGATAATTAAATATACTTATATTTGAGATAAAAATATTAATGTTTATTTGCTTATAATTAAGATAAGAATTAGCTTAATTGTGTCCAATTGGAATATGATCCGAGGGTTGAAATCATGCAAGTGTATTCTACCCCTTTCTTTTAAAACATAAATTTGCAATTTATAATAAATTTATACTTAGCTTGTTCTTGATTTTTTAAATTTGTGTAGAAGATTAAAGGTAAGTGTCATAGATATAATTTCATTTGTTGTAAAAAGATATAATGAAATTATAAGAGTATAAAATCTATACAATAATAGTATAAGATTTTCTTATATTCGCGTACCTAGATGGTAATATGGTGAAATCATATAATACTAACACACTTTTGACATCCAAAACAATGTGGTAGTTGTCAGCAATATTAGGTTGTTAGATGTCAATTATTAATGGATCCTTAGGTTGTTTCATATATGTGACTTAAGCTTGATAAAACAACATTATAACTGAATAATGGAGCCCTCACTAAGAGGAGCCCCTCAAAAAATAAAGGTATGCCACATTAAGTGACGAGCACACGGCATTCTTTAGTAAAAGGCGAAAGAATAGTTCGCTTTGTGCTTATCACATGGCTCCATGATTCTTCAAAAGCCAAGCTCTTTTCTTTTATACCAATAACAATTGAATCATCTCAATGGTTTCAACAATGTGGGCTTTGATTTGCATTGTAGTATTTCTTCACTTTCATGCTCTTTGAGTCATATGAATGGAATAACAATTCATATTTGATGTTAACATCATATTCTTAATATTTTAGTTTATTGATCTTGGAAAATGGAAATTCAGATAAATATTGAAGTGGGATAAAATTAGATGTGAAGCTTTTTGCTTCTACATAGAGTTCTGCTTGGTTAATGAAGGACCCCAAGGGAAATTCCCTTGTATTGATTACTAAGTAATTAATGATATCATTCAATTAACATCTTCTTTCGGGTATTGTGGGCACAAAAACATGTGAAGTGGAAGCTGAGACACAAAGTCTTATGCTACAGGTCTAACAAGATTGTTCCAACAACATGAGTAGGATGATGCCAAGTATTTGCACATTGTAATTATTTCTAGTTATGTAAGACCAAAATGACTCTTTCCCAAACAACTTAAGATCACTAACTTGTGATATGTATCTAGTGACAATCACACAAACGGGTAAAATAGGTAAACAAACCAAACATGGTTTTAATCTCCATGTGTATAATTTTATATCGAAGTAGTAAATAATAATAACTTGTTATTAATAATACTAAATAATATGCATTATATTATAATAGAGTTAATAGTTTTTGTAGGGTATTTTGAAAGAGTAGTATTTGAAAATCAAATTGAGATCTTTTAAACAAAGAATGAACGATCTTTTAATTCTTCCTCAAACTGATGTTTGGATCTTAAGAATTTTAAAAATATTAAACGTACCGAATAAACTTGAAAAAACATTCTTTCGAAGTCTCAAAGTATACTTTTAACACTTCCCAAATATAATATTATTTTCAACGAGTGAAATTAAATAACAAATATATTTTTTTATTTAAAATTATTATTATTTTGTGTTTGGACTTGACATTGATAAACATTTACACCAAACACTTATTTTATATTTTTCAGTATAAATATTCACTAAACCAAAACATTAAACATTTACTCTAAAAATACGTTTGAAGATTGTTGGAACATTATTTTGAAGTAGTCGAAACTCATCTATAAAAGGATATAGCAACTCGATTTTATGTTGAACAATGGTTACACGAATTAAGAGGAGAAAAAGACAGAGATGATACCCCGCGCCTAAAGTTTTGTAGTCGCCACCACATTTTTATAGTCAGAATATTGAAAACACTTTTTTATGCCCAATATCAAAATAAGCTGATCGTTAAAATTGAGTTCTAATTAGAGAGTCGATTATGGATCGAAGAAGGTATTAGCCCCTGATTTTTCACATGAACGCCCAACTTTGTCTTGCTCATTAATGGAAGATAGTAGTAGAGTACCTGATACAAAACACCAAACTTGCACCGTTGGTGAAGGAAATGATCTAATATTTGTGTTTGCCCTTGACATTTTATTTCTAATTAAGAAGATTGTTCAAACAATGTCTGAATGTTAACTTTTTTTAGGAAAAGAAAAATCAAATTAGGAATTCTCCAATAAATTATAATTTTCTTAAACAAATAAATCATTTAATTAGACGATTTTGAAATAAAATATGAGAACGAGAACTTAGAATTAGAGGGTGCACCGGCCCATGTAATAGTGCAACACATGAGCGATACTTAAGAAACCCAATAGCAAGCTACTGTAATGGTCTCTCCCCTTCAAAAAAGTAATTTAATATCGTGTGAGTCAATGACCCACATATCAGATATTAAACTGATAAGAACAGATACTACACTTGATCTTAGCCAAAAGGCCGAGAAAGGTATGAGTTATTCAATCATTGGCCTTCTTTTTTATATGGTGTCATTCATTTATGCTAGTTAGCCTCATCAATGTGGGACTACTGCAAATAATATTGCATTAATTATTTTACTTATTCCTCCACGCACACTTGGTAGTTGGTACACCCTCCTTATGTTACATTTGGGCATAAAATGTTTTTTCTATATTTTGATAACAAAAAACATTGTCAATGAATCGTGTAACATGTGTTCAGATCGTGGGGTATAGCAATATGCAAGATAATTAAATATACTTATATTTGAGATAAAAATATTAATGTTTATTTGCTTATAATTAAGATAAGAATTAGCTTAATTGTGTCCAATTGGAATATGATCCGAGGGTTGAAATCATGCAAGTGTATTCTACCCCTTTCTTTTAAAACATAAATTTGCAATTTATAATAAATTTATACTTAGCTTGTTCTTGATTTTTTAAATTTGTGTAGAAGATTAAAGGTAAGTGTCATAGATATAATTTCATTTGTTGTAAAAAGATATAATGAAATTATAAGAGTATAAAATCTATACAATAATAGTATAAGATTTTCTTATATTCGCGTACCTAGATGGTAATATGGTGAAATCATATAATACTAACACACTTTTGACATCCAAAACAATGTGGTAGTTGTCAGCAATATTAGGTTGTTAGATGTCAATTATTAATGGATCCTTAGGTTGTTTCATATATGTGACTTAAGCTTGATAAAACAACATTATAACTGAATAATGGAGCCCTCACTAAGAGGAGCCCCTCAAAAAATAAAGGTATGCCACATTAAGTGACGAGCACACGGCATTCTTTAGTAAAAGGCGAAAGAATAGTTCGCTTTGTGCTTATCACATGGCTCCATGATTCTTCAAAAGCCAAGCTCTTTTCTTTTATACCAATAACAATTGAATCATCTCAATGGTTTCAACAATGTGGGCTTTGATTTGCATTGTAGTATTTCTTCACTTTCATGCTCTTTGAGTCATATGAATGGAATAACAATTCATATTTGATGTTAACATCATATTCTTAATATTTTAGTTTATTGATCTTGGAAAATGGAAATTCAGATAAATATTGAAGTGGGATAAAATTAGATGTGAAGCTTTTTGCTTCTACATAGAGTTCTGCTTGGTTAATGAAGGACCCCAAGGGAAATTCCCTTGTATTGATTACTAAGTAATTAATGATATCATTCAATTAACATCTTCTTTCGGGTATTGTGGGCACAAAAACATGTGAAGTGGAAGCTGAGACACAAAGTCTTATGCTACAGGTCTAACAAGATTGTTCCAACAACATGAGTAGGATGATGCCAAGTATTTGCACATTGTAATTATTTCTAGTTATGTAAGACCAAAATGACTCTTTCCCAAACAACTTAAGATCACTAACTTGTGATATGTATCTAGTGACAATCACACAAACGGGTAAAATAGGTAAACAAACCAAACATGGTTTTAATCTCCATGTGTATAATTTTATATCGAAGTAGTAAATAATAATAACTTGTTATTAATAATACTAAATAATATGCATTATATTATAATAGAGTTAATAGTTTTTGTAGGGTATTTTGAAAGAGTAGTATTTGAAAATCAAATTGAGATCTTTTAAACAAAGAATGAACGATCTTTTAATTCTTCCTCAAACTGATGTTTGGATCTTAAGAATTTTAAAAATATTAAACGTACCGAATAAACTTGAAAAAACATTCTTTCGAAGTCTCAAAGTATACTTTTAACACTTCCCAAATATAATATTATTTTCAACGAGTGAAATTAAATAACAAATATATTTTTTTATTTAAAATTATTATTATTTTGTGTTTGGACTTGACATTGATAAACATTTACACCAAACACTTATTTTATATTTTTCAGTATAAATATTCACTAAACCAAAACATTAAACATTTACTCTAAAAATACGTTTGAAGATTGTTGGAACATTATTTTGAAGTAGTCGAAACTCATCTATAAAAGGATATAGCAACTCGATTTTCTGTTGAACAATGGTTACACGAATTAAGAGGAGAAAAAGACAGAGATGATACCCCGCGCCTAAAGTTTTGTAGTCGCCACCACATTTTTATAGTCAGAATATTGAAAACACTTTTTTATGCCCAATATCAAAATAAGCTGATCGTTAAAATTGAGTTCTAATTAGAGAGTCGATTATGGATCGAAGAAGGTATTAGCCCCTGATTTTTCACATGAACGCCCAACTTTGTCTTGCTCATTAATGGAAGATAGTAGTAGAGTACCTGATACAAAACACCAAACTTGCACCGTTGGTGAAGGAAATGATCTAATATTTGTGTTTGCCCTTGACATTTTATTTCTAATTAAGAAGATTGTTCAAACAATGTCTGAATGTTAACTTTTTTTAGGAAAAGAAAAATCAAATTAGGAATTCTCCAATAAATTATAATTTTCTTAAACAAATAAATCATTTAATTAGACGATTTTGAAATAAAATATGAGAACGAGAACTTAGAATTAGAGGGTGCACCGGCCCATGTAATAGTGCAACACATGAGCGATACTTAAGAAACCCAATAGCAAGCTACTGTAATGGTCTCTCCCCTTCAAAAAAGTAATTTAATATCGTGTGAGTCAATGACCCACATATCAGATATTAAACTGATAAGAACAGATACTACACTTGATCTTAGCCAAAAGGCCGAGAAAGGTATGAGTTATTCAATCATTGGCCTTCTTTTTTATATGGTGTCATTCATTTATGCTAGTTAGCCTCATCAATGTGGGACTACTGCAAATAATATTGCATTAATTATTTTACTTATTCCTCCACGCACACTTGGTAGTTGGTACACCCTCCTTATGTTACATTTGGGCATAAAATGTTTTTTCTATATTTTGATAACAAAAAACATTGTCAATGAATCGTGTAACATGTGTTCAGATCGTGGGGTATAGCATTATGCAAGATAATTAAATATACTTATATTTGAGATAAAAATATTAATGTTTATTTGCTTATAATTAAGATAAGAATTAGCTTAATTGTGTCCAATTGGAATATGATCCGAGGGTTGAAATCATGCAAGTGTATTCTACCCCTTTCTTTTAAAACATAAATTTGCAATTTATAATAAATTTATACTTAGCTTGTTCTTGATTTTTTA